TCAGCTTCTAATCATTTTTACAATTAAGTGTTCGTCAACCATTATTATATATTCAAATATAATTATAAAATCAATTTATTTAATATTATATGAATAACAAACTTATATGTATATTAAAAATTGACACATTCCTAATTAACATCTGTCTGATTAAAGATCACATAAGAAGAATTAAAAATATTTCACTTTTATTAGAAGTGTGATTAATCACACTTAATTTAATGGGTGAGATAATATTTTTTTAATCACATGTTTTAAATAAGTGTGTTTATATGTATTTATTTTAATCACAGTTCCAAGGTGTGATTGCATATAATTTTTCAGTTTTGTTTTTATATCATTATAATATAATAAAATGATTTTTGAAAATGTTTTAGAGAGATAATTGATTAGAATGCTCAGATCATTTTAAATGAAAAATTAATGGATGAGATCATTTGGCAAAATTATGAGTGGACCAAGATCGCAACTCTTTCCTCGCCATTTCCTTCTTTATGTTGCAGAAACTCTCTCTCTCTGTCTCTCTCTCTCCCACGTATAGCCTCCACAGCTGTCTCATTCTTTTCTCTGACACCAAACATCTTTCGCTACCGACGCTGCTCCTCCCTTCCATGCAACCCTTCGCAATCCTTCATACTCTCACAACTTCGGGTCTTATCACCATTATTGGCTTGATGAAGAACTACAGATCTAATTTTGTAAGTTTCTGACTTCAAAATTTTAATAGTTTCTTCTAGTTTTTGTCTGATGTTCTGAAGCTAATTTTTAAATTTTTTTTTTTTATGACACCCTTTCCTTCGTAAAATCGGAACTAGGGCATTTGATTCAACTGTTGTAGTATTCAAAAATCGAAATCCACATATTGAAATATAGAGTTTTGGTTTCAAAACCACCATTGTTGGCTAAGGAAAAACTGGTTTTGTAAGGTTCTAAAGCTAGTTTTTTTAAATTTTTTTTTTATGTTTTCTTTGAATTTTTTTTCTCATGTTTTGAAGCTACAATACGATTTTTTTTCCCCTCATTTCTTGAAACCCTTCCCTTCTTGAAATAGAAATTAGGGCATTTGATTAAACTCTTGTAGTATTTAAAGATTAGGACAATATATTTGAAGATTGCATTTTTTAAAAAGTTTTCTTTGTATTATTTTCTCATGTTCTAAATCTACAATTTGATTTTTTTCCCCCTTATCTAAAACCCCTCCCATTTAAAAATGAAAATTAGGGCTTTTGATTCAACTATTTTAGTATTTGAAAATCAAAATAATCAATGATATCAAGATTGCATAAATTTAATTATTCAAGAGATACCAATGGGGAACTAGTTGTGGCATCTTTGAATCAAACTCATATTTTCTTAGTGTTATGGCACATGTATATAAGGTATTGTTGATTGTTGTGGCATCTCTCAATTGGCTAACAATTTGAACCGAGTATGGATTTTGAGTGCTTTATTGTTTTATGCAATTGATGGGTTCTGTTCACCTTTGATTTTTTTTTTTTAATTGCTCTGAATTTTTAAGCAACCTTTTTTTCATTTTCCATATAACACAGCCCCATCTATATATTACTTATCTATACACATGTCTAATAATCTATTGTCATAGAAAGTTGATTGGTCACTCAAAATTATGGCTCCGTTAATATTATCTGGACATTTGAATCCAAGTTTATTACATTAAATTTTAACTTTGTTTTGGCATGTATTGCTTGGTTCATTTTAATTTCGTTTGATGAACAAAATGTGCACTTCAAGACCATCAGTTGAAGGTTTAGTCTATCGTGCTTGGAGCTCAAGATGCTATTTGGTGTGTTTTGAAAAAAAAAAAAAAATAAAAAAAAAATAAAAAAAAATAAAAAAAATTGCTGTCTTTATGAGTGACAGTATTGAAATAAGAAGCCCATTAACAAAATTGAGAGCCTTAGTCAATTGGTATTGCACTGAACATTTAACATGTTGCACATGTTGATACGAAAATATTTTGAAGACCTTGTCAATCAGAAAAACTCATTTTTTGCAAAGCATTCTATCGATGCAAACTTTGTGATTATAATATCTATGAAGACAAATCATGGATCAATGAAATTTTGTTATTATGACATGGACGGTGAAAGGAAGCCTCATCAAAATTGTTATTCTTAGTTGATAAAAACACATGTTGGAACATAGCATATGTTTAAAGCAATTATTCTTTTGCAGTCTGATTGTCATAATACTGTAACAACTTGGAATTGTTTTTCTTTCTTTATTTTTTTTCAAAAATTAATCATACATTAGTTTGTTAAATGCAAATCCATTAGTAGTTATTTGACAAAAGCTCATATTGGAATGCATACAGGGACTGATTGACCACAAAAATTCATTGGGTGCACCCCTTTGCCCTTGTAGAGGTAAAACATTCAGTGTTTTACCATATTATCGAGAAGAATTTCTTGAAAATGTCTAATGTAGTTTTGTCTTCATGTCATGTTATAATATCCTATTCTAGGGTTGTTTTGTTTCAGACACTATGATGACAAAGATGCTGAGGTAGGGCAAGGCTTTTGGAACTGTCCATGTGTTCCCATGAAAGAAAGGTAAATACTTAGACTTAAATGACTCAACTTCAGATTGCATTCAATTGTTTCTTACATGGTTAGGCATAGGAGTTTCCTTTTTCACTTTTTGGATATAACAATTGAATATCATAGAGTTATTTACTAAGTAGAGTTTGTTGTTGTCAAATTTCCACTGAGAGTTCTATGGGTGAGAAATTTATGTCGTTTCATTAAATTGAGTTATCTTTCCCCATGATTACTTGCTGAATTTCAATGTTAAAGTATGAACTTCACATTATTGAGGTGTATTGTTAATCGTTCTAAAATATAGGTGGAAAATCAGTCAGGCTTAAATTGTAACAACCCCAATCTATGATTAGTCGTTAAGCTGTGATTAATTATGTCTAATGAGTAATTAAGATGAAATTCTAAATTAATTACATGTGTGTTGCATTATTTGTGTTTCTATCTATCTATTGTAGAAAGATCTGTTTGTGTTTCTGTTTTGTTTTGCGAATTGAAGGCCTTATCGACATCCGATTACAAAATTGATTTGACATGTTATTTAAGATTTTTAAAATTTTATGGTAGGACTCATGAAAATTCGATTCGGAACGAATAAATTAGAATAATGATCACACTTAGTCATCTTTAACAGCAATTAATTAGAGCCACTAATGGAGCCTATATAAGGCTCATACAACCTCTAGAATACATTTTGCACTTTCATATCATCATCCTTGAGTCCCTAAAATGTGAGTGAGAGAGAGAGAGAGAGAGAATCAAAGCTTAAGAATGGTGAATTGCAAGGAGATTGAAGGGAGTTGGCTTAGAAACTTAAAGATTTAGCAATCTAGAGCCTAATTAAAGAGTTTAGGCAGGGATTCAAGCCTTTACTTGTGTAATTAAGATATACCACATGAATTTAAGAGGAATTGGAATAAGAATTATGCTTTGAGAGGTGATTTCGAGGCTAAACCATGCATGCATGTTCCTTTCTCACATGTTGAGTTTGATTTTTAAGAAATTCTCTCACGCATGCCATTGCTCTCACATTGTTTGGGGAGTTCATCAAATTCTGCATCATTTTACCTTAATTGATCATGTTTGGGGAGGGGGGAAGAAATCATGTTTTATCATGCATGTGTTATACATTGAGTTTCAAGTTAGATTTCAACAATTGACTTGCTCTTTAGGCCTTGATTTTTGCAAAAGGACTTTTAATTCATGAAGTTCTATGGTTTTATATATGTTTTCTCAAGTTTTGGGCCCAAAAGATTAACAACTTTGAATTTGAGTTTCAGACTTAGAACATCAATTTGGAAATTCTAGATTTCAGCCTCACCGCTAGAACGACAGATCCTGCGCTCGAGCGACCATTTTGTATTTTTCACTTCAGCTTGAGCGACCTAGAGTTGGCTTGAGCGTAAAATACATGCTCCCAGAAGTTTACCATTTTTGTAGACTGCTCGAGCGACAAGAGTTGCGCTCAAGCGAGAACCTCAGTCTTACGCTCGAACGACCATTGAGTGGACAATTCACACAACGAGTACTTTTGTAGAGTTTACAGACCGCTCGAGCGAAAGAAGTTGCGCTCGAGCAAAAGAACGTGTATGTGAGCGACCACTAATATTTTGCATGTTCGCTCGAGCGAGGCCCCTATTTTCAGCAAGTTTTATAAAGTGTGTTCAAGTGCATTTTAGCATTCTCATTGCATCTTAGGCATTCCTAGGCCAAGATTAAGACACAATAATGGGGATAAGGCTTAAAAACACACGAAGAACAAAGTGAAATAAGTTACGTACTATCCAAATGTGTGTTTCAATGTGTGTATCCGTTCTGTATCTGTGTAGGTCACGTTGCATATCGTGCTCATTCAGAGGTTTCAGAGTCGCGGCCATGAGCCCTGCCTCCGGATTTCCGAACCCTCTTCTGTGCCTTGCCTCGGTTTGCGAACCAGGCTCAGTTTTCTCTGTTTCTTTTCCTGAGGGGAGGGAGAGGTCCCGTGGACCATCTCTCAGTGGCCGTGGGCTACGTTTTATGGTCGTA